CAATCATGATACTATGAGGGAGGGGCCACCTTCGATGGATGATTGGAGTGAGGCGGGGATATTTGCAATCTTTTTGAGACCTTTTTATGAAGTCACTTTAAAAGTATGTTGTTCTAATACTCCAACCATTCATACTACTTTTGGTGATTTGTTTAACATCAAAAGTCTCTTGCATGAAAACAAAGATGATGAACTTTTGTCTATGATCTCCAAGTTGATACAAGAAAAATATGACAAGTATTGGGGTTCACTTGAGGACATGAATCAATATCTTTTTATAGCACTTGTGCTTGATCCTCGCCACAAATTAGAGAAAGTCGTTGATTATTTTGAGATACAATTTGGTAAGGATGAAGAAAAGGTTGAAAGTGCCACAAATGGGGTGAAGGACTTGTTGATTAATCTTTACAAGATTCATGAAGATATGTCTTTGAGTACATAACAAAGTATAAGTGGTGGTGGTGGTAGTTCTCAAACGACAAGAGGAGACTCTTCATCAAGCATGACCGAAATAGAAAGAAAGTTGAAAGAAAAAGGTGAAATGAGAAAAGCAAAGAGAGCCCGGGTTGTGCATAATGATGTAAACAAGTATCTTTCCGATCCTAATGAAGGAGAAGAAGAGGAGAACTTTGATGTATTGAATTGGTGGAGAGTGAATGGGGTTTCTAAGTACCCAATTTTGGCACGTGTTGCAAGAGAGATCTTAGCTATTCTCGTATCAACCATTGCTTCGGAATCCTCGTTTAGTACAAGTGGACGGATAATTGATCCATATCGTAGTTCTTTAAGTCCAAAAATGGTGGAGGCTTTGATATGTACTCAAAATTGGCTTAGGTCCATTCATGTTGCATTACATCATGAGCCAACCATTGAGGAGATGGAGTTTTGTGAAGAAGTTGAGAAATGTAATTTTATTTATTGCATTTGATTTTGTTAGATTATTTTAAATAACATTTTAATTAGTATCTTTTCTTTTATTATTTGTATGTAGAAATGGCAAGTGGAAGTTCAAAAAAAGGTGATATGTTGCCCCCTAGGCCGCCCAAGCGTTAGCAAGCAAATTGTCGTTGAAAAAGTACGTGGATCACTCTCATTGTGGGGCACCTTCCAAAATCACTTCAGCACATAAAGAATGCTATTTTAGGTGTGGAAGACTTGAAATTTGGAATGTTTATTTTAGTCTTTTAAATGTGGAATACTTGAACTTTGATGTTTATTTTAAGTTTGGACTTTTGGAAGATTTAAACTTTGATGTTTATTTAACTTTGGACTTTGGAACACTTGATTATAATTAAACTTTGAATTGAATGTTTATTTTCATTGTCTTTGAGACTATGATTATATTAGAAATTTGGAATGCTTATTTTGAGTCTTGACGATTATGTTGAAATAGGACTTATTACAAAATGGATGCAAGTTGTTTTCATATACTTTTTTTAAGCTATTTGGGGAAAAAAGCAAAAAAAAAAAAAAAAAAAAAACCCGAACCGGGCCGAAACCGAACCGAATACAAACCGATAGAAAACCAAATTGAACAGTAATTTTGGTTCGGTTTCCGATTTTCGCAAAAACCGAACCCACCCCTAGTAACGTTTATTGTTTTCTTTGTCACGCTACATCATCACACTTTGGTGTGGCAAATGAAAATGCGGAGTATGTACTAATAGATTCTTGTACGCAAGAATTCAATGATGCTTTGGAACATTCCGGATGAGTTATTCACAATATCTAATCCTCTTGCCCGGCTGCCTTGTGGTGCTTAAGATTATCACGCACGCGTAGTAATGGACTTTGATATACACATGGGACTGGATACTGGTGGAGAGTAGTGTTGCAATGATTCTCTAATGATTGAGATATTCTTACCTCTTTGGGTCAACAAATCGTACTCTCTATGTTAATATAATAAATATACATTTGTAAACTTAACTATTAAATATAAGGGTTACAATTTACCACCTCAACTTTGAGTTATGCAATTGATGTTACACATCAACTTATAAATTTGTTCCAATACCAAACTTTTGTCAATTTGTTTGTTAACTATTGAAGTGGCAAGCGCGAGGCCACTCCCTGCCCAACTTGAACTCCACATGACTTTATGAAGCACGTAGATCCTCCCATTTATTTTTCATTGTATTTGATTTTTAATGATAAAATTTATCGTAATGTCCATACCATGTTAGCAATTTCACGGTTTTGCTAACGAAATTGATGGAATAATGTAAACTAGGACACTAAATACGAGTGCGTGAGGTAAAGTGCGACACAATAGAGTGTAAATGATAAAATGAGACTTGGTAAAGAGTACAAGTGTTAGTACTAAAAATAAGTATGTTGGATTTGGCATTAAATCAAAATTTCTAACTAAAAAGGATTAGGATATCTTGGACGCAAGATATTTGGATTTGTGTTTCTTAGTTGGTTTGGGATTTCGTTTTAGTATAGGATTTGGTTTCCTATATTCTAGGGACTTTGTGTAAACCTATGACATCTATTAGTATAAATAGATGGATGTGGGATAGAGTTTTGTGTGTGAGAGTTCTAAGAGGCATAAGTTTGTATACTTGAGAACACTTTATGTTTGTGAGTTCTCTTGTATTTGTTGATAATCAATAAAGCTTCCGTTGTCAGAGAGGTACTCCTATATTGGAGGAACTCTTAAATCGTTGTGTTTTGTTTATTACTTGATTGGTTTTTGGTTTAGTTTACAATAAGTGGTATCAAGAGCTTAGGCTCTTACGTGGGTTATGACTATCAAGCAATGACGAAGACTGGTGATTCCACCAGTAGTGATGATGTTGAAGAAAAGTCTAGCACTAGTGGAACCAAGACGACGGTTCAGAGTGCTAGGTTTGAAATTGAGAAAGTTGATGGAACGAACAACTTTGTATGTGGCAATGTGAGGTTCGAGATGTCCTGATACAACAAGGTTTGGTTGTTAGGAGACATACCGCTTTTGATGAAAAAAGAAGAATGGGAAAGATTGAATGTTCATGCAAGTTCTACAATTTGGCTATGCTTGGGAAAGCAACAGAAGTATGGTGTGATGAACATAACTTCTGCGAAGGAATTATGGGCTGCATTGGAGACAAAATATATGAAGAATACTACAGAGAATCGACTGCATCTCAAGAGCAAGTTATACAAGTTCCAGTACAAAGAGGGCACGAAGATGATTGACCATCTAGAAGAGTTTAACAAGCTTATACTTGAACAGGCAAATCTTGAAGAGATAATCAAAGATGAAGACAAGGCCTTGATCTGATGAACTCATTGCCTGAATCCTACAAGCCTTTCATGACTACTTGGATTTATGGCAGGGAGACAATTAAGTATGATGAAATCTCAAGTGCTCTTATGAATCATGAGGTAAGACACCTTGACAAGCAAGAAATGAATAACTTTGAAGCTTTGATGGTGAGAGGGAGATCGAAAGAAAAGAAAGGTTCGTACAGGAAAAATAGTAGGTCTTGTACTAGAGGAGTCTCAAAGAATAGGAAATTCTTGCACAAAGATGAGTGTGCTTTTTGTCATGAAAAAGGACACTGGAAGAATGACTGCCCTAAAATCAAAGAAAAGACTAGAAAGAAGAAGGATGACTCAGAAGCAAATATGGTTGAAGTCGAGGAAGAGGAATTTGTCTATGCCCTAACTGCATCGAGCAATGTAGATTATATGAAAGAGTGGGTGCTCGACATAGGTTATACCCATCACATGACTTCTCAAAGGCATTGGTTTTCAAGCTTCAAAGTTATGAATGAAATTGTGTATATGGGAGATGATAATCCATGTACAACTCAAGCAATTGGAAGCATCAGGATCAAGCAAGTTTGATACAGAAGATAATCTAGCTGATATGTTGACAAAAGTGATAGCTGATATGTTGGATTTGGTGCAGTTGAAACAAGTTTGATATTGCAATATGATGGAGCAACAGAAGTTGTTTGATGCCTCGTTATGGATTTCATGCCAAGGTGGAGATTGTTGGATTTGGCATTAAATCAACATGCCTAAACTAAAAAGGATTAGGATATATTGGATGCAAGATATTTGGATTTGTGTTTCCTAGTTGGTTTGGGATTTGGTTTTCTATATTCTAGGGACTTTGTGTAAACCTATGACATCTATTAGTATAAATAGATGGATGTGGGATAGAATTTTGTGTGTGAGAGTTTTGATAGGCATAAGTTTTTATATTTGAGAACACTTTGTGTTTGTGAGTTCTCTTGTATTTGTTGATAATCAATAAAGCTTCCGTAGTTAGAGAGGTACTCCTATATTATATAGGAGGAACTCTGAAATCGTTGTGTTTTGTTTATTGCTTGATTGGTTTTTGGTTTAGTTTACAACAGAATCTTCGTCAAAAGTTGAAGGACTAAAGTAGGTGATTCGACATGTTTAGGAAGCCATCTAAAATCAACCCCTTCTTTTCTTTTTCTTCTTTCTTGTAATTCTTTGTGTAATTTGCATATTGTTTCTCTACAGTTTTCAATAGGATGTTGTTATTCACACATTCATTTTTACTTCTCATAAACTTCTCTCAATTTCCAACCATCATTAAAGAAAATCAATGGCCAAAAATTAATAAAGATATGTAAAATGTAAAAATAAGCGTCTGAATATTACTATCCATTTCAAGAGAACATTCTCTTTCTCAAGAGTCAACGTTTGTAAATTACAACAGCGGTCAGTTTACGCCAAAAAGTGGACTCCGCAACAATCTGTAGCCACTCAATAAGCCGATAAGCACTCAAGTCCTTTTCTTCCTTAACTCAAAGAGGTCAATTGCTAAAGGGCTGAGCAAGTCAATGGTGGCAATTACATGCCAATTGCCTTTGATCAATACCTTCCAGTTAAGTCTGGCAGCTTATGACTTCCACAACTCTCCCCAACGCGGAAAAATGAGCAGTTAACATATGACTTTGACAATTAATTCAAGGCAATATTACTCGAGGAAAACTACGAGTTCCTTCTTAAGTTGCGTACTATTTTTTTTGTATTTGTCTTGAGAACCACATCATCTGTATGCCAACGTACACAATTAAACGGGACCCCACGTAGTAGGAGGTTCTCTCTACATGTATATGCTCTAAACATTGACCGTTTCTAAGTCCACCTTATTCTCAAGCTACATTAAGGTATTGGACCGGCCTCTGCAATTTCTAAAACCCAATGGCTTTACCAATTTCGTTAGCCTTCCTCCTCTTCTTTGCCATGTTTTCGCCGGCTCGAGGAGTTGAGTTTTTGTTCAACGGATTCAATGGAAGTGAGGCAAATGACCTAATCCGCGAGGGGGCGACTATAATCAAGCCCTCCGGCATGCTCAAGCTCACAAACACATCACATAATATTATAGGCCATGCATTCTATCCCAAACCTATAAACTTTTTTGATAAAAACTCTTCTTCTTCATACCCGAATGCGTCTTCCTTCAGCACACATTTTGTTTTTGCAATTGTCTCCCCTGGTTCCGGCCCCGGAGGCTTTGGCCTAACCTTCACACTCTCTCCCTCTCCAAAATTCCCTGGGGCGGAACCCGGACATTTCTTTGGGATTTTCAACTCCGCAACGGACAGTAACCCGTCAAACCACATCTTTTCTGTGGAATTCGACACGGTCAATGGGTTTAAAGAGAACTCCAACACCGCAGGAAACCATGTTGGTATAAACAACAAAAGTTTGTACTCTGTAGCATCTGAACCAGCTGCTTACTTTGTCAAAGGAGCACACAAAGAAGAAGTAAACTTGGAGAGCGGTGAACTCATCCAAGCTTGGATAGACTACGATGGCAAAACTCAAATGCTGAATGTCACAATATCTCCCATACATGTGGAGAAACCCAAGAGACCGCTATTGTCGCTGACTATCAATTTATCTGCTACTCTTCAAGAGACTATGTACGCCGGCTTCTCTGCATCCACCGGAGAACAAGCGAGCGCTCATTACATAATAGCGTGGAGTTTCACGGTGGATGGAATACCGAGACCAATCAATGTTTCGCAACTTCCTAAACCGCCAAAAGAGAAAGGTTCATCCTCTTACAGACCCGAAATCAAGGCTCTTATAATTGCCTTATCGGTTGTGGTTTGCGTGTTGTTGGGAGTTTTGTTGTTCTTCACCTTGTACAGAGGAATGCATGAGTCTGAGAGTCTTGAGGATTGGGAGCTGGATTGTCCTCACAGGTTCAAGTACAAGGATCTTTATGCAGCAACAAAGGGTTTCAAGGCCTCCGGTGTGATTGGAGCCGGCGGTTTTGGTGAAGTTTACAAGGGTGTCTTACCTTCTAGTGGATGTGAAATCGCGGTTAAGAAGATCGCCCGAAATTCGATCCAAGGAATGAGGGAATTCGCTTCGGAAATTGAGAGCTTGGGAAAGTTGAGGCACAAGAACTTGGTCCATCTCCAGGGCTGGTGCAAGAAGAAGAACGATCTCCTCATAGTCTACGATTACATCCCATATGGAAGCCTAGACTCGCTCATTTTTGGGTCCGAAAACAACTTTGTGCTGAGCTGGGCACAAAGGTTCAGCATCCTCAAAGGCATTGCAACAGGGCTCTTGTACCTGCATGAGGAATGGGAGCAAGTGGTGATTCATCGCGATGTGAAGTCGAGCAATGTGTTAATAGATGCAGAAATGAACCCGAGGCTAAGCGACTTCGGCCTTGCCAGGCTGTATGATCATGGAGAAATATCACACACTACTGGCGTGGTTGGCACAATTGGGTATATTGCACCAGAATTGGCTCGCACAGGGAAGGCCGCCACATGCTCCGATGTGTTTGCATATGGAGTTCTACTCCTTGAAGTGGCTTGTGGGCAGAGACCCATCGGCTCAGGCGAGTTCATATTGGCGGATTGGGTGATGGAGAATCATGAAATGGATCGCATACTCGATACAGTTGATCCGAACTTGGACTCGGATTTTGATGTTAAAGAGATGAAGTTGGTGCTGGAACTAGGTTTGCTTTGCACTCACTACAAACCAGAAGCTAGGCCTACCATGAGACAAGTGGTTCGATATCTCAATGGGGAGGATCAGCTTCCTGAAGTCGAAAACTGGAACCTCATTGATTCGCGTCAGAACAGTGAAATGAACACAAGATTTATGCAGGTCCTTTCGATTGATACAATGGCATCGGATCCTTCATCGTCCTTGGGCGGGATCTCTTGCAGTTCCATGAACACCGGCAGATGGTAGCGCCAATGTACTTTTCATTATAAATTCTTTCTTGCTCCCATTCTTTTCAAATCAACATTGTAACAGTTGTTTATTCTTAATCTATATCAAATATTATCGTAACTCTCTTTTTTCTCGAAAACAAAAGGTCCGTACCAGTAAAGAATGAAAAAAAACTGATTGAGAACATAACTCAAACCACTGATCAGTGGATGTATTGCACTTAACAGAGTTCCGAAACATAAGAAAGGGCACCTTTCCTGTAGCCTCAATAAAGCGACGATGTTCTCAGAACCAAAAACGAAAACTAGAGTTGTGTCCATAATGCAAAATAAAAAAGGGCTACACGATCTGAATAACTTTTTTAACTTCCGTGACACCTATCCTTAGACCTCAACGAATACCGACCAGTCACTTCTCATTGATCCATGATGCGCTTCATAATCGCATAAGCCCAAGCTGTTGTTTCCCTGAGACTTTTATCATCGAACTGAAGACACTCTTGCAAAATTCCCTCAAAGAAGGCAAAATCTCCGAACAGTGGCTTGATGGTTAGGCCAAGTACATCAACGAGGTCACCCAGCGCAGCAACTGTAGCTTTTGTGACATTGGCATCCCTATAAACAAGGAACAAGGGCAATTGAATAGGAACAAGTCAGATTACAAACCGGAAAGACATTTTGGGTCACACACACACACACACACATATATGAGAGAGAGAGAGAGAGAGAGAGAGAGAGAGAGAGAGACGATACCTGTTTACATCCCTTAAAACCAATTCTATAAACTGCAGAAGATGTTGGGCATATGGCAACATGACCTCAGGCTTAGAATCCTTAAAGCCCTGAAGTATACCAGAATAAGCTTCAAAGATGCTACACTTAAGCTGGTTTCCATATTCCATTAACTCTTCATCGCTAGTGTCCATCCGAGCACAAAGCTCCGAAGCTCCCTGCATCATCTGCACTGCATAAGGGACATACTTCTCAAAATGTACTCCAATTGCGAGACCTATGTCACCAAAGACAGAGAATATGGGAGGCTTCACAGACCGGTGAAGCGATTCACTAGACAAGTCCTTCATCAGGTGACTCATAATACCGTCACAGTATGGTAATGCCTTCTCATCCAATGCACGAAAAATGTCACCAACCACTCCAACTGTGATAGCACATACTTGAAACTCCTCAAAATTCTGCAACCCCATCTCCAAATACTTGTACAATTCCGGAAGGTACTTTGCAAAGTCAGGTCCAGTTGCATAAGCCAGTGCACCTATAGCAAGCATTGCTTCCTCATGTACTGTGGAACTACGGCAAGCAAACACTCTAAGAAACAGAACCATTATCTGATCAGCGGCTTCCAATATAAAACGCTTAGTTCCATCATCACTGGTAAGCTTCTGAATAATAACCTGTAGAACACCACAAAAGGAAGCTTGCAAGTCTCCTTGCTTTTCCTTGTCATCTGACGAAAGTTCTAAAGTCTGACCCAACTTATTCATAATAACAACGAGTAGCTGTGCTATAATTTGTGATGTTTCTTTAAGATTAGAACACCTCACAACGGCATTCAACGATTCATAAGCAGAAGACCTTAATCTAGAATCATCACCATCTGCACGACTAGCAGTGGAAAGAAGACATTCAACGATGCCCGGGACATATGGAGTAAATAGAGAGGAGCAGGTTTCCTCATACCCCTGAGAAAGGTGATAGATGGCCCAACAGACCTTCTCTGCAACATTTGGAGCATCCTTAGTGCCTTCCACCAATATTTCCACCACCCTTGGAAGGTTAGCAGAAGAAATCACAGTACTACCCGGACTATGCAAAAACTCAAATATACGACTGAGAGTCCAGGCAGTAGTGTCTTTGACATGGTTGTTTTCATCTTTCATTAACCTAAGCAGGAAATCCAAACCTGAATGAACCAAAACAGAGAGCTTCTCAGTGCTTGGGCCTTCAAGTACTGAGCCAAATGCAAATGTAGCTGCCTCACGACAGTGCCAATCTGGCTTCACTATGTTAGCCTCCACAAATGGCATCACAAGGGGCAGAATGGCATCTCCAACAGTCATGGAAACAAGTTGTAGGCATGTCCCACCAGCCATCGCAATATTCCAAATGCTGTCATCTTGGTCTAGATCTTCTTCCTGTTTCAGCAAAGTTTCTAGCAACAATGGAACTAAAGATGCCAGAGCCTTTTCTATAAATTTTGAATGAGGCCCCGAGTCCCCAGTGTCAGAGATCTCAAATTCTTGAAGCTCTATTTCTTCATCACAAATGGAGCTCCAAAACTCAATTGCTTGAAGGGCAACCCCCTCTTCATCCCCTTTTATAGCATTTGATGTAAGCTCAAAGAGAGCCTGCATGTAAGGCTCAAGAACCTCGTAATATCTGGAAGCAATTGAAGCAAGACACTCAAAAGCAGCCTGCCTAATTTGTACCTCCTTAGACAAAGCCGTCTCGCAGACCATCTTCATAATGAAATCTCGTTCCATCTGAGTGTCAAAGTTGGTTTGTGCAAACTCCAGGGCATTATATAAAGCCCGTGTTGCAGCCAGACGAACTTCTGGGCTATTTTCAGCAAGGTTCATTCCTTGGACTACAGCAGTAAGAACATTGTTCACCTCACCTTGCTCAAGATCTTGATGAGATATCTCCTCACATACATAACCAAGTGCTTCCAAAGTTGACTGCTTCAAACCAGCTGGGTTATCTCGCTGAGTCATATTGTTGAGCAAAGACCCAATAAGGTCAGGCCATTGTTTTCTGGGAATATCAATAGAAGCAACTTTTGCAATAACTTGGGCAGATGTGTGTCTTGCCTCCAGGACAGGTGACCCAAGTGTCCTTAAGAGCAAGTCCTTGATTTGGGATATAATAGAAATATCAATAGTCATCCATTGTCGAGTAAGAAGTTCTTTTGTACCAGTATCTTTGGCATCTAATGAATTCTTAAGCACAAGACCAGCCAACGTACGGGATTCAGTAGGTTTCTCATTGTTTGCAAGCTCAACGGACAATGATAGAAGAAAAACAGGAAGGTTTTGCTCTTGAAATTGCCTAAGATTAGCCTCTGCTTCAGTACGAACTCTTGCATCAGCTGATTGAGCTGCCAATAGAAACTGAGTAATCTCCATAGCCATTTCGTTCCTACTACAAAAGAACAGCAAAGCTATATTAAGCATGCATAAACATAAAACAATAATTTCATTAAAATCAATAATTTCGTAAGGCTATGCACTATACAGTATGTCACAAGCTAAAGTATAAATGTAACAAATTAATAAATCTACTAAATACTCGTTAAATCGCTAGAGCATAGACACATTGCACGAAACTGCAAAAGGAATGATCAAACACGAAAGCAACTGTAGAGAGAAACAGCAGCATGACAACCAAAACCATCAACCTGTTCTTCAACCATACAATCCATAAACGTGTACTTTTTCGGTACAGAGCACAAAACGTGTACTTCAACTAAAACAGCATGTCTCTAAAGAGCTTAAACCCTCAAAATCCCAAATCCCCCGCAACCCATGACATGCACTGTGCGATTAAAACCAACAAGCAACAAAAATTAAGATCTTGAGCACCGAAACCAAACGAAAATCAAGATCTTGAGTACCAAAACCAAACGAAATCGCGTCGGACTAAATTAAAACCCTAATCGCATTTCACATAGCACAAATACTGGAACCAATTTCAAAACCCATGGAACCAAAACAAGTAGAAATAAACAAAATCAGCAGATCTATCACCACAAACGTAAACCGAAATCCACAGATTGAGATTAGAAGAACCAGAAATTACCACGAGTAGAAGCCGATTCAGTAGCAGCAGCGGCGAGCGAGCTCTAAAACCCTACTCGGAGAACAAGTAGCACGAGAAGCGAGGAGGACTTGGGGTTCTCTCCGTACGCTTGCGTCGTGAGAAGGCAAAGCACAGAGAGGAGTGAGAGAGAGGGAGGAGAGAGGGGGAGGAGGAAGATGAATTAATCGGCGATATATATAAATCGTTGTATATATTTCGAATGGGTGGAAGAAGCGGGAGGGAGTGGTCACCTAAAAAATCTGAAATATGAACCAGCGGGCAGGGGTCTACTGCCTGCCCGAGCTACCCGGGTCCACGGCCCTTGAAAACCCTAGGATTTGAAGTCTCCCACATGTGAGTTCAGAAATATCACAAAAACAGTTTTTTTTTAAGTAAATTTGAAAATTACCAAACTCTGAATATATTTATGAATTTGAATGAAAATGTATTTTAGGAAATAATTAAAAAAATTGTGGTAAAGACAATGTAATCCAATAACACGTACAACGTGTTATTGAATTACTATAGCTGCACTTACATGCACTTTTGAAATCCAATGACCATGAACATTGCATTAGTGTCGTTGCGACATTGACAATTTAATGACCTTAAGAAAACACGCTTTGTTTAACTTTGGAAATTCAATAACAATAAAAATTGCACTAGTGTCATTGCAGCGTTGAATGACCTTAAGGTGTGTGTGGAGCAAATGTGAGTGCACTCAAACCAGACTCTCCAAAGTAGATCTTTTTTATCCTTTTGACATATTGGGACTCTCAATAAGCAAATTTGATATCGTTAAGCACCAATCCATCCATAGCATCAAAACCAATAGGTAGAATCTATGTAAAACTTCTTGACAGAGAGAAATAACAGCAGTAAAAGGTGAAAGGAAAAAAAAAAAAAAAAAGAGGAAACTGATTTCTTAGCTATAATATACATCAAGTACTATGAAGCTCATGATCTATTTTTCTTGTGTTTTACACTGCATTGAGCTTGTGCATCGACAGGGCTTTTCGCTCTACAGAGCTTATGCTTCATCCGCCAAGGGAAGAAACCTTGCAAGCCACAACCCTTGGGCGACGAGTACGACTGCCTGCACACCGTTCTCGAAACACAGGCCTCCGCCGGCTCCGGATAATTCCACGGGTAGCAGAGTCTCTTGCTTGAACTCATCTGTGACACGTTTAGCTTCAGAGCAGAAGATGCAGCCAATGCAGTTGCGTCCGGAAGAAACCGCTCGATTATGAAATTCGGACAGTTTTGATTCATCTCGTGCCTTGATTCTTCTGCAAGCTTCAACTTCAAGCTGTGATCTGTTTCA